ATACATGGGCGGTACCTCAACCTTTGGCATGACGCTTTTTTTTTTTTGCGCGTCAAAAGAAGTTTTTCTTTTACATTTTGCAGTGTGATTGCGTGTCTTTGAGCGTTTTCATTTATTATATACTTACATATACATTTGTATATACTTATAGGTATGTAAGTGGATACGTATTACATACATACATTCATGCGCATGTTTGTACATAGGGATGTACATAAGTATGTATGTATGCATGTATGTATGCATGCATTTCTTGCATTGCATTAGTTTTTATGTGCCAGCAAAATTTCATTTAGGTTGTTGTTGGCACAATTTCAACAGCATTACTGGCCGGTGTTGTCGTTGTTGCAGTTACATTGGGCACCGCTGCGGTATTGCAACCCGCTGCCACATCATTGCTGGTGCCCGCATTCAGCGATGTGGAACTGTTTGTGCGTTTTATGTCGCCTCCAGCCGCAGCAGCAGCAGCAGCAGCGGCGGCACCTTTAATATTTTCACTAACTTCAATATCGTTGATATGCGCCGTTGCAATTGTGCTGGAGTCATCATCATCAGTTTTGTTTCTGAAAGCAATCAATAGCAAAAAAAAAACTAAATGTTAGAAACATCACATTCTTGCTTCGTAGAGGTAAAAGCAATAGTTCCAGTGCATTTTTTAATGTTTGATATTTGAAAAGCAGAGAAAATTTCGACCGCAAGCCGAACGAGTATAGTAAGAAGTCGTCCTAAACCAAACGCTATGCTCATACCAACCCTCCCAAATTTATTCGCAAATAGTAAGGCAAGTTATTTTGAATTTCTATGGTCTTGACTACGCAGCGCTGACGTCATCGTCATGAGGGTCCGACTATATTCATAAAATCAATGAATCCACTAAGTGTTGTCGTCAATCTTAACTAAGGATAGGTCCAGGAAACGTGCAGTCTGGATGACATTGGACCATTGGAGAAGAGGGCACATCTCCACAAATTTGGCATAATTTTTCTTTAGTAGGAGTCTAGCTTGCTATAATATCCAGAACAGTGGTGGTTGGTCTCCGACATCGACATTCAAAGAGCGGGCTATCCACGAAGGTGTTGGTTGAAGCTCTCGATAAATGCGGTTTAAGGCCTGTCTGTAGTCTTTCTGTTTTAAGCGGACGGCATGCACATGGCTAAATCGGGTCTTTTGAGATCCATGACGTGCCTGGGTGAAGGCTCTGCAGGCGTTTAACTGCAAGAGTTCGGGCTTCGCAGAATGAATCCATTGCAAGTTCTATTTCGGCGTCCTGACAGGTCCGAGGCTTCGTCGCAAAATAGTCGCAAGTAGTCGAATGTGGAAGTCCAAAAAAAAAATAAAAATTAACTGGCGATTAATTAGAAAACATATATAATTAAATTATAGAAATCTTTAACGTCCCAAACGAAAAAAACTCGGACCTATTTAGGTTGTTATCGTCGCTTAGTACCTAAATTCACATTCTTCAAATATATTGAAATGGCGAATTTAGTGCTGAACAATGAGAAAAAGGCTGTTTCAATGGCGTTACTATCTTGGTTAAAACCAGGAGAATACCGTTATATTCCCGATAAATGTGATAAGGTCAACGGTTTTGCCGACGTTATCGTTTTTGCTTCGTTTTCATAGGACAAGGCTGGTAATCGAAATAAAAAAATAGTAATTTTCGATGCAAATATCGATTGGATCGATTAAGTTGTTACATATTTGTATCGATGAAGTTATTGATGATGTTTTCTTCGCTGCAAAATGTATGCCAAATGTGGGTTCTTCCTAAAAATTTATAAGTTTCCGTATTAAATTAGGGATGTACATATTTATAAACTTTATTTTTCGTACTCAGAAAAAAATGCAAGTTTTGATTTGTGAGCTAGTTTCGTTACATTTCCGATAAAAATTAAAGACGGCACCGATTTGTTCGTAATTCGCATGGTAATTGGATCTGTATTAACAACAAATGACAAAACTCAAAGTTTTGTATGGCGAATTAGAGAGCGAACTACGTAATTGGGGTGCCGTGGGAAAGCCGTATAAGACTCCAAAAATATTACGCCGGCTCCGAACGGCGATTGTATTTTTATAAGAGAAGCTATTTTTCATGGCAGAAATACACAACTCAAAACCACTACAAAAAACCCGGTTTCGGCTCTGTGCCACCCAGAACGCGTTCCGGGTTTGGTTTAGTTCTGCATGCAGGCAAAGTCAAGATTTCCTGCAGATGCCTTTACATTATAGGCGAAATATCGGCAATAATAAACAAAGGGAATATAAAACATCTCATTGTTTTATTTACCCTTAGCCTAGAGCTAAAAAAAAAAACCAAAAGAATACAATAAATGGCCAAAAACCAAAGCTAGCCAACAAAATGTAACGCCAAGAACGTTCGCATTTATGGAACAATTTCTCATTTTCTGTGCAAGAAAAGTTCGTGTCTTAAGTCTTTCGTTGACTTAATTGGCATAAAAGTCTTTCAGTTCTTTTTTAATTAGTTTTAATATGCAAATATTTCTAACTGATTTACGCTATGTAAATAATATAGTTCTCGCTTCCATTCTTCGCGAATAGTTCAGAGAAGATTTGTTCTCGTTTCGTTCGCTGACAGAACGTTCCTGCGACTTTAGTTCCCAAATGGTTCTTCGAGAGAAAGTTCTTTAGACTTTTGCTCCCATTTTGTTCTTTGCCAGAACGTCACGGGGACTTTGTTGCCATTTGTTCTCTTATAAGTATTCCTTAAAGTATTATTCGCATTTTGTTCTCTTTGGGAACTTTCCACAGGGTTTTGTTTGTAAAAAGATTTCCGAAGGTTTTGTTATCATTTCGGTTTATTTTTTTAAGCGTTCGTGGGAACATGACATTTGATTTCGATCATACCTTTTGTTCTCGGTCCCAGGTGCCATCCAACGACAAATGACACTGAAGATGGCAAAACGTCGAAACCGGTTTGTCTCAAAGCCAAACTTGGCAAGGAATGATGGAAATTATTACCAAAATAAATCGTATTCCCAACCTGTCGGAAGAATTAACCATAACTAACAAAAAAACCCTTACTACTGAAAATTTACACATGTATTTAATCCTTTATTTAATTTTTTTAATATGGTACTATTTTAGCAAATAACGAAGATCACACTACAACAACTCCACGAATAAAAGGCGCAAAAATTTACGCACGAAATTTAGCGAAAGCATAATTTCTTTGTTGACGTACCCACGACAGTAGACCCGACTTTCTATAAACGGAACGATCCAGATTTACATCTGTCCCGAAAATAACTGTACAATTTGTATGCTGTTATAATAAAATCTTCTTTGTATATATACTTGGCTGCTATATCAGTGAAGATTTGAAATCACGCCTTTATAAAAAAAAATGTGATTTACCTTAAACTGAGTTTACTGCGTGCATATATATCGTCGCTTAAAGTACAAAATCGTGTATCAAGAAAATGTAAAACCTCGTATGAGAGCTCGCCAAAATTTTATAGAAGAGAGTAAAACTTGTCTTATTTCAAAACGGTTCGCTCTTTTATCCCTAATTATCTCTTCTCCATATGTCTAAGTATCGATATTTTAGTATGAATGGAGAAGGGCAAGGTGCCAGGAGCTACCGCTGAGCAAATAGCTTTTTTGGCACAAACGTCACTTACGAGGTTTTGTAGAAGCACGATACGCAGTTTTGTACTTTAAACGACGACATGTATGCCGACGTGGGAACCAGACTAGCCTTTCTATAAAAAAATTAAACTAGCCTATCATAAAAAAATTAAACTAGCCTTTCTATAAAAAAATTAAACTAGCCTATCTATAAATAAAAGACACTAATTTGGTAAATTCTAAGAAATTCATTGCAACCATCTCAGTAAACTAAACGGAGGTTAAATAAGTATTTGGCGCTTACTCTTTCGCTAAGTGTTTGCTATTTTTAGATGTTGCTCAGGCCAGGGATCGAACCGAAATCCTACGGAGTGTTAGTATGCACTTCTAACCCACTAGGCTACAGCGGAAGCCACTACTGAAAGGGAAAGTGGACCTCAATTGGAAAACCAAACCATTCTCAAAAAAGGAACCTTATTTGGCATGCAAAATAATCGGAGTTGTGCACTTGAAAAAAGCTTACGTTATCAATTTACAAACTTTAATCAACTTTTCATCAAACCTTAAAGAAAATGTTGTACAACCACTTGAGAAATAATAATTTCTCAAAGATTGGAAAAGTGCTTACTTTTGTGCATATTGGGTTATTTACTAATCAGTTGCCGAAATCTAGAAAATCGTATTGCTACAACATATAGCTCTTATAGTTCAGATATCTTCGCCTAAGCAGCTAAAAACATAGATTGGGTTACTATAACTTCTAGCTCCCATACAACTGCATGATATGAGGTTTTGCTTTAATGAAGCATCATTTAGCAAATATCATTGGCGGCGCCAGGCAAAGTGTTTACTTGGGGATATAGTATAAAACGATTCCAACTTCTAATCTATCATCGAAAAAAGAAATTATGAATGATCATAGGCATTGTTACATGACACTATATTATGAAGGTTCCTTTGCACAAACAAGGATAATGGTCAAATGATCTCTGCTATTTCTGTGACTAAACGCGTTTACACCTTTTAGGAGCCGCACAATAAAATGCACGAAATTTTTATACATAGGTATATCGAGCCATCTGGCTTAGCACAATATTGTAAAAGGTTTTGGTAAAAGGCAAATTACTGAATTACCACCATCGAAACCCCGTTTGGAAGCAAGAAAAACACAATCTCTGCGTTGAAAGCGCTCAAGTACTTCTATGATTTCTTCAATAAGTTCACACTTCGCCAATTTTGCGTACTTTGCTTTATTAAAAGCCAACTCAATACGCAGCAAACTCTTCAGAGAAGGGGGTACAGGCCGCAGGACGACTAATTCAAAAAAAAAATTCAAAAATACCACATTTGTGCATTCTGTGACAAGCTGTTATTATCAGCGCCAAATATGGCTAAATCGAACAGTAATACATTTTGTTTAAACCTTGACTAGTTCTTATAATGCACTAATGTTTTCCAATAAAAAAAAGCAAAATAGACAAAATTATAGCATTTTTAACTGTTAACACCTCGAGTGCCTACCCCTGTATTTTGTTTTGTAGTTTATGGTTTGCAAGAAATCACCATTAGATATTACAAAAGGTATTATTTTAAGTTAACTAAGGTAATGCTTGTATTTTAACTAAAAATATCGTTTTAATTTTTAAAAGGAAGCGCCAGAGAGCACTCTTATGGAGAATCGGAAGAAAATAGATTCCCAAAAAATGGCATAATGTAGTAGGGTCAAATTTAATTTGCCCTCAATAGAGGCTATTCTGCACTCACTGTGCATCCACTGATGGAGTTACAACCTAGACTCTTGATACCATGGAATTATTCGGTAATAAAGCATCTTGGAATTATTCGGTAATAGAGCATCTTGCGAATTATGTGACCTTTTTAGTAGTCAAAAACCAAACAAAAAATTGTGATTCGAAAGTTGAATACCAAATAAAATGAAAAATCAAAACAAAAATAATCTTTAACCTGTTAATATGGCGTTTATTTGTTCAGATTTTTACTGCTAATGAAGTTTATTGCGCATCCTTCGCTTCAATAGCAATTGGCGGGCAAGTGAGAACATATTTTAACACGGCAAGGGAATTGAAAGGCGCTGAAAAAGTAAATTATCCTAAAAATCCTGCGGTATGTGCTATTACACATTTTTTTTTTTTTCAATAACAAACCAAAAACTTTGCAATTTTCAACGATCTAATCTTGTAAAGCAACGAGTGCGTGTGTTATTTGAATATATATATATATATATAATATATATATAGCCTCGGGAGTTGGCACAGGCATTGTTGCGTTTAATGATAGAGCAATCGAAGAAAGTGAAATAAGGAGACGGGAAAAAGCGCTTACAATTTATGTGAATTTTCGTTTTCTTGAAGATCTTTGCTACTTGGGCCATTGGTGAAACGCAGTTCATTGTCGGATTTAGGTTCGCCTTCGTCACTTTCATCGTCATCGTGCGCATCCACCGCGCTGCCGCCTAACGGTTTCGTCCACATGCCTTCATCATCCTCATAGTCATCCTCTGAATCCTGCATAACCGATTGCAGTGTACGCACCAGCGAAGTGGCCAACGCCTTCTCATTCGAGACATCCAAATCGTCTGCTGCATCTGTACCATCAGCGAATTCGCCAATTTCTTGCGTTTCCAGCGTTACACTTTTCTCAATATTTGCATTATCATCGTAGCCTGTTTCGGATTTGTCGTCATCGCTTGTTATAGTTGAAGCCGCAATCCGACCAATTGCACTCAGCGTTGTGCCGTTGTCTGTCGCATTTTGCTGCAATTGATTGCCGTCACTGCTTCCCCCATTATTGCTAGCATCATCATCATTGTTACTACTCTCTTTAGGCGGCGATGTTGTGCCAGGTGTTGTGCTAATGGTTGCTGCACTAACTAAACTCTCACCCAAATCATTGGTGAATGAACTGAAATGCGAATCGAAATCAGCAAAATTATCCGTATTGAAATCAGCTGCCCAAGGTGTTGAATTGCTATTTGCAGTTAGATCACTGAAAGGATCCATGTGGTCCCATGGATTATTAGTTACGCCGAATGCTTGTAGTGCGGATGTTGAAACGGCATTCTTGCCGAAAAGCGAAGAACTGCTGCCACCGCCGCCGACAACACCGCTGCCATCTCCGCCAGCGTTGTTTTCATCGTCGTCGTCATCATCGTCGTCGATATTGCGACCAAACTGAAACAAATTAAGGTCGTTTTCGGCGTTATCATCGTTTTCGAGCAGATTATTGCGATAGATGTCATGTTCAAGCGCAAAAACTATGTCCTGTCGTATTGATTGATTTAGTGATGTGGTGGTTGGCACACGTTTTCGAATTGCGTTCAGGACACGACAAATATAGAGACAAAGATAGCAGATAGTGATGAAAGTGAAATGGTTACATAGAGCTACATACATACATAGAACTACTTTGACTATAAAATGGATAAACTACTTTTTCTCTCTCGCACTTTTTCGCAATAAGATCGAAATTGAAGTTAATAGCAGTTCAAAAAACGCTGTTAGCTAACGACCGATCGGAGACTTGAGAATAAGTGGTTTAAAATATCAAGAGGTTTTATGTTTAAAAATGTTTAAGCGTATTTATTGACTATCAAACAAGCAGGCTGTGTAAAGTGTTCTGAGTGATATTACAAAATGAAATGAAAATAAAGTGTTAATATGTGTTAACTGTGCCTATGCATAATTACAAAACTCTCTTCACTAAAATACTAATTCACAAATGCTGGATGCACTGCATATTCTGAGTCGCAAAGCAATCATATTTTTGAACGGAAAATATACACACATATTTCGAATAAACTGAATAACTTAAATTGCATGCAATTATTAGGAAAACAAATAAAAAATTGCCCAGCCAAATAAATATTAAATAACAAAACAAACTTCATGATTAGTTAGAATCATTTAGTTTTATAGAAATTACTAATTTGCGACTCGACTATGCAATGCAATTACAAATTTTTATTTTAAAAAAAGCAACGACTTGTTTGTCTCTTGCCTTCATCGGACGAATACTACAAAAATATTTCATCTAGGCACACGAATTGTGTTTATAACACTTGCACCAATTAGATATAACTTACGTTTGAGCCGGAGTCGCTGAAGCCAAGATTATTGCTGCAATAAAAAGTTCTCAATAATCAATCATAAATAGAAATAAATGAAAAATCTTTTTTATATAGAACTTACATCATATTCGTTGACATCACATTCGATGACATTACATAGTCCCAAGTAGAATTATCACCCAGAAAATCTTTTGGTAAATGTTGACTATAGTCACCCGCTTCGTGGGCGTTACAATTCGCTAACATTTTGCTTTGTGTGGCTAAGGCCTTTGTAAGATCACCATCGGTTGGGTTTATTATTGATTGCCACAATTTTAGCTCAAACTCATCACGTAAATTACTCTCAATTAAGGCACCGATATGTTCAGATTCTGATATACTATTCGCAATATGTTTGAATATTTTTATTAAATGTCCCATATAACCGAGACGACGACCTTTTTCAGCTGATCTATTAGTTAAAAATAAATAAAATAAATAAGTTAAATGCAGTTAGTAAAATCGTATCCGTACAAAATATGTATTTAACACTTACTCTGTGTCGGAGTTGTGCTTCCAGCAGTCAATTAATTTAGAAATCAGCTTGCACTTTTCAATCACCTAAAAGAATTTAAATTAAATATTAGCTTAACCCTTATTTCTTTTAAAATAAATATTTATAACGTACGTGCATCTGTAATGCGGACGGACCACTGTCGGTATGAACTTGAGTTTTGTTCTGCTCGCTTTCTTCTGCATCTGATTTGTGTTCATCAGCAGCATCAGGCGCCGGTGACTTGTCTTCGTTGTTTTCTGCTACTTTTTCTACAGTACCATCATCAGTTTCCATGGCGTTAAGATTTGCTACATTTTTATTTTCTAATTTGGCTTCCTCGTTTGTAGTAGCTACTTTGTCGTCTACAATTTTTTCATCCGTTTTCATTTCAATATCTTCCTTTTCCCCTGCTTGTTCATCTACTTTTTCAACATTGCTACTTTCATCGTTAGCCTCATCGTCTTTTTTGTTATCAGACTTGAAAACGAAATCGAAAAACGAAGTATGTTCGATACTGTTTCCCGTTTTGCCGAAAGATCCATCATTTACGATTGTACTACCTTGCAGTGAGTTATTGTTATTTGATAGTTGCGTATAAAATACTAAATGAAGACACTTTTCAACTTCGCTATGCAAAAAATTATTCCAACAATATTGCTTGAAGAGGATGAGTAAAGTTTCAAAGAAATCCGTTTCACAGACGCTAGTTAAAAAGTTATATAATTTTTGGACTACCAATTGATTAAATATTTGTTTGCTTACGCTTTCAAAATCTCTTCGTTTTTAGTCTGCAGTAATACTGTAAAAATACGGCAGATTTGCAAACGTGTCATCCCAAAAGGCTGTGATAACTTAGCTGCGGTAGTCACTATTTCTGGTTTCTGAAAATTAAAAAGTGCAATAATAAACGGTATATGCATAATACAAAGAAATTTATATAAACTTTATAAATTAAGCTGATCATTCTTAATCATTTAGAAAGAATATAAATGTCGAAATTTGTAAAAAAAAATAAGATGTTAACCACAGAGGATGGTTCCTCCTATTATACATCGATAAGCGTTCCATAAACGGTATACATTTTTCTATTTATTTTGTTTAGCCTAACAACTATGTAAGGCACATATTTTCTTAATGTCCTCAATTATAACAGTGCAAATCTATACTTACATTTGGCGGGTTTCTGAGTAGCTCATTGAAATCGTTAAGACGCGGTGCAATGACACGAATCACAGTGGAGAGTATTTGTTCACGAATCTCTTTTTCCCGATTTTGTATGAATTTCATACGATCTGAACTAGGTTCTTCACTAAAAGAAAAAGATAGCATTGAATTTAAATAAAACGAGTTATGAATAAACTGATATAAGCACATATGGATGTACATATATCAAACACTTACGTAAACACCACAGGTTTTAAAAGCATAAGTACAACCGATATTCCTGATACGACAGCGCTCTGTTGCGCATTTGGTTCCAAAATCACATTCAACAAGGCTTCAATATTCTGCTCACTTTCGATGCATTTCAAAATTGGATTTGAACCATCGAATGTGGGCTCAAAAGAGTCGTTCTCCTGCTCCATATGACGCATGGAACGACCTTGTTGTATTAAATCACAGAGGAATTCCGAAACATTTGCATGCTTGTCGGTTTCTTGAGGATTACCAATTATTGCAATCAGTCTCTCTACAAGTTTATCATCAGTTAGCCACTGAAATGGAAGGTAAAAAATGAAAAATTATCACATTTAAGGTATTAGTAGATAATGGCACTTACTTGGTATAAATTCCGTTTCATTTGACCACCTTCTACTTCTCTCATCATTTGCATTATCAAATCGGGTATGACGGGTGTGAAAAAATGCTTACAAATCAAATCCAAAAAATTATTTTGCGACTTAATGTATTCCAAGAGTTTTAGGCACATTTGTTGATACAAAAACCAATCTTGTTCAGCCTTTTTTGTGAAGAGCATACTAAATGTTTTGCTAAAAAATGACGATAGCAAAGGATTTAACGGTGGTTCATTTTCCAGATATGAATAAAGTGTTTTTAAAATATCTTCATCTGACAAAAGTTTCTCATCTAGGGACGGTAAGCCACTGAAATGAAGGAGGTTAGAAATCAGATTTGTATGGAAATGTTATCACATAGTATATGTTGGTCGGTACTTACAACGTTAAGATTTCGCAAGCCATATTCGCATGCCGATATCTTTGTGCTAAAGGTAGATCCTCAGAAGGTTCTGTAGTTATGAGTTCAACAAGGCGTTTGATCACGTCTGGACGAGTTAAGCTGCAAAAGCCGAAATAATTAATGTTAGAAGGTTAGATTATCACGTCGAGTATTACACTATCTTCTCTATATGACAAAAGAGTTTGGACTTACTAATTAACAATAGATTTCTTTTGTGATCTACACTCCAGTAATATATCGTCATCGTCCAGAAATTCCTCCACTGTAACATTCTGCAACGACGGAAATTATAGCAATATAATGGAATTAGTACGAAAGCATTATTTAAATAATATATGTATGTCGGTATGCGCAAGTGGGTATATTTATTAGCGGATATATCGCCGAAGTGGTAAATCTAACGTGGGCACATGTAGTGATTGAGCACAGTCGCATGTGCACCAGCATGGAAACATAATACCTTCATGCATTCCAACTACCTCCAAAGCCAACCCAATCGCACAATATACACATTATTATATGTGTATAAATTGGGCTTTGGAGTAGTATACATACTTACAAACATTCATTCGGACGCACATACTATGCCACTCACCTCTTTCTCCAGCAGCGCCTCTATGTTCTGCGACGGTGTGTAGCTTTTGTCCCAAAACATTTTCTATTCACCTTTTTATCCACGTACTTTTAATTTTCTACCTTAGTTTGGTTGTTGATACTATGAAATCTTTAATTTTTTGGTATAAAATAATTCTGGAGACTTTCTTTTTCTTTAATGGTTAATAATAATTAATACGCGTCTGACACAGCACTAAAAGTAGAGATCAATTTTATATATCAAATTCAAAACATAAATACTATGTATATGCAAATGGAGGCGTTTTACTTCCAAAACTTTTGCAAGCTGTCGATTGAGTTTCAACATCCTACTTTAGCATTTTTTACATAAATTTACACTAATATGTTTGTTTTATCACCCGAGTATTTATTTATGGGTTCCCATTTTCACAATTCACTCTGCATTTACAGTTTTTATTCCTTAACTTGCGATTTTCTTTAATAGAAGTTATCAACGTTTTTTATTGCCATTTATTGCTGCTGAAAAATTTTTCCTTTTCTTTCATTTGACAGCAAAAAGTGTGACAACAGTGCACTCTTTCGATCAAATTGAAGAGATTTTCAATTGTCAGATTAGCTATAAAATTCGGCTAAAAATAGTGACGTCTGAAGAAGTACTTGTTGCTCATATTTGGGGTTGGTGGCAACCGGGTTTCTTACATCAAGTGATTTAAAAAAACAGAAAACAATAAAACTCACAATTTATGGAGAAATCTTTATATGAAAACTAAAGCGTAAAACTAAATGCACTTTTGAAATTAACACTCTCAACTCTTGCCACGGCTTCTTTGATTTGATGCAGAATAACATTCGGTTAACCGTTTTTACGCACTAACGAAATTCACATCGCTAAATTTTACAATCATTATGCCAACTCAAACCAACAAATTAACATCAAATACATATTTTAAACTAGGAAATGCAAACTTATCGAGCTATGGCCAACACATTATTTTGTTAATCATCTTTCATTTATTGGCACTAAAAAAACTCCAAGTCACTGCCCAACACATTTCTCCGTTCTAGGCGGGTCGTGTGAGGTCACGTATCCTTGCCCGCTGGCGTATTTAATCACCAGTTCAGCTAGCCACTCACCCACAGTTCAGACAAGGATGTTAATTAGGACCTTCGTATGTGTGTCCACAGTAATTTTAGCGTATTTAATAGTTTATTTCGGCTTCATTAGGAAATTTGCAACTATAACGTCGCCACGGTTTGCAGTTTTTCGCGTTTGACAGTTCACGGTTTTTTCTTTTGTTAACAAAACGTCAAATTGGCAAAAGACGCGCCGTCTATGGGTAAATTTTGCCTGTAACTGTTCCGCCAGAAGATGTCGCGCTAACAGCTTATTTCCGGAAGTGCATTTGTTCCCAAACAGCTGATTTCCAGTAGTGAATTTTGGTCCTAGGTAACTCCCTAAATCGAGCCGTAAGACCGAAACAAACCACACAAGATGCTTGTCAAACATACTTCCAACGTACTTTTCCCATTTCGCCATATACCATGCAAGCATGCCTCGTTGAAGCAAAGAATTTTAGTTTTTTTCTGGTTCTCAATGTTAAAAATTATGGTTTTCTTCCATTTTTTTGTCTCTTACGTCCTCGTGATAATTCCGTTGCAAATGGGGCGAACGCATGCGGTTTGAGCAACTGTGAGCATGGCGGCCAAAAAATCAAAAAAATTTTGATTTTCGTTCAAATCTGCTATGACGTCACACTTCTTTCAAAATTTTCAAGAGAGAGCGATATCGCAATCAGCACCACCTACTGTATTCGTTTCACCAAATACGCGATCATAAGGAACAGCTGATTTTTATTTGTAAACGCTACACCTTCATTTCGGCGCCGCTCTACGTTCCTTGAGCGTCACGTACGCAAAGTACTCATTATGACGGGGCTCTAAGTGATATTGGTGTGAATAAATGTTCAAAAATTTAATTTCTTTGATAGAACCACTTTTTTCGTGTTATGGATTTACGTTCTTTGGTTTGACCGAATTTTCAAAATCACTTGCGCTGTAACGTTTGACTTGACTTTAATATAAAGAGCATGTCAGACCTGGCAATCTTTCAAACTTTTCTACGCAATTCGCTGTCAAATTGAGAGACAAATTTTATTTCCACGTGTGAAGAAAAGACCTTTCTGTCACTTTTCGGAAATCAGTGTCAGTGTAAAAGGTGTGACTGCACATGTAACTGCTTTCTGAAATGTCTCAATTTGACAGCATTTTCGAAATATATTGCATTGCCAAGTCTGACACGCTCTTAATAACCGATTAAAGTCGATATCATAGCCACAAAACAAAAATTATGCACTTTGTTTTGTTTGATTGTCAAGTTCAGAGTTATTTATAACATCAAAACAAATCACTACTAGGGCACTAAGTACTATGTACTGTATTGAAAAATGCTTCGCCTTACCATTTATTAAGGGCTTGCGGCAGAGGAAACACAAGGTATTATATAAACCAAATATAGGAACAAGAAGACATGTACAAAGTGACCAGTGAAATCTATGAGGAGACCAACTACAACCCAGTCAAAGGCTCCAATGGTAGAGTTTTGTCCAAATTCAAATTCAACTACCCACCAGAGGAGGAAATTTCCGCGTCTTCTAGCGGAACCACTGTCGATAAGGACGGAGACTTAGTGGTGCGACGAAAATCGGATTCTAAGCGAGCTGGTGTGATAAAAATAGAGCATTCTGAAGCCACGGAATTGCGTCTGGTGGGACTGCAAGTTTGGCGTGGCGCATTGTTATTAGCCGATTATATTTTCCATAAGCGTGCAGAATTTCGTGACAAAGTTTTGCTGGAGCTGGGTGCAGGCGTTGGATTGACCAGTATTGCTGCAGCTATCTATGCGCAACAGGTTGTGTGCACAGATGTGAATGTTGGCGGAATTTTAGATTTAATACGGGAAAACGTGAAGCACAATGTCGAACTGCTTCAAAAAACGAATACTATTGAAGTTTTGGAATTGGATTTTCTAAAGCCTGTAAAAGAATTTTCTCCAGCGCTATTGGCGGCCATTAATAATTGTGACGTTGTGGTAGCGGCTGATGTAATTTATGACGATGACCTGACTAATGCATTCATACGAGTTTTAGATGCTTTGTTTGAGCATGGCAGATTATCAGGAAAAGATAAAACGGCGTATATAGCATTAGAGAAGCGATATGTTTTTACTCTGTCCGAGATGGATACTGTGGCGCCAATGTTTGAGTATTTCCTGAAGCAATCCATGCATAAGGCTTGGCTTCTCGAGTATATTGATACAGATTTTCCACAATATTTTGATTATGATCGCTGCAGGCATTTAGTGCTGATGAAGGTAACACACGCTAAATAAGTAAAATTAAAAAAATAAGTATTTATTAGCTTAACATGTACGTAGTAGCAATACAAATAGTTGAAAAAATAACCCGAATAATAGTTTAATAAACCACAAAAATTTGTGATAAAAATTGATTGTTTTTTCCGACTGCCTACAAATATCTTACAAATCCTGCATTGCTAGAATAATGTTTTCGAGGGCTGTGCGTGCATCAGTAGGAGGGAATTTTTCAAGCACTTCCATTGCAGCCGTCGTGTGCTTACGTTGCAAGGCCTTGGTCTTTTCCAAACCTGGCCCAGATAGGATTGCTTTGTGTATCTTAGCATAGTCGATATTTTCAACCGATACTCGACCTTTTTCTATTTCATCATATAATGAAGCATCATATTCGAGATGAAATAGTACCGGCGCACTTACCAAGCTAAATGGAGTATCTGAAAATGATATTAGTCATAAAATGGACTTGTATAATATAAACAAGTATATTACCTATTGGCAGAGTACTACTTTGAAATGGCTCTGCATCCAAGCATGCTTGCCATGCCAACGACAAATGCTTACCGAACAAATAAGCTTGACGCTGCATATCTTCGCTTTGCCCAGCTAATTTTAAGGCACCCTGGCATGCTTTGCCTAGCAAACTACCAGCGTTTAAAATATTGCGGCATTCCCACTCTTTTTCGGGTATGCCCATGACTTTTGAGATATTCATAGGTATCATAACATCGTTTACATCGAAATCAATGCTTTCTGTTGTAGCAGTACCATTGGTTTTTAGCGTTTCAGATCCCGGCTTACATGGCAATGGATTATTTTGCTCATCACGTTCTCCAACAAATTGAGACTCTGAAAAATCTCGTACAGCTGATGAAATCAACTCCACTACTTCTTGATTGCGTAGATTTGCTAATTCAGCGCTAGAATGACCAAGCAAATAGTCCCCAGTCAGTAAACCTATTTTGTTACCAAACGCCATATCCTCATAAGTCGCTGTATCCTTTCCAGCCTCCGACGAAGGTTGTAAATTTACTAAACTCTGTTAATAAGAAAATGCCTTGAATCAAATTATCACAATACCATTTGTTTTAATCTTACATTGTGCACCAAATGCGAAATTCTAATCATCTCCGTAACTTCCGCCAGAGCGCGTTGAGAATGCAGCACACCTGCGCTTTTATCCTGTTCCATGTCCGGCACCGAAGGCGCATGGCCAGCGGCCTTGGATATAAGAAGCACAATTAAGCCCCAAGCCTGCATTGTATTTTTTCCATTGTAGAGTAGATGTCTGAAAACATTAGCAAATTAGTGATTCAACCAATCGAATATATGGTATAACTTTTAAATCCAATTACTTTGCCGTCTTGAGTAGAGGATGATTGCTACCCACTAATTTCCGCAGATGCAATGCTACATTAGCAATCTCATCACTAAGTAACCATCGCAAACTAAGGAATGATGTAGGGTAGCCGACAATGCGTTCTGCCTCACTGACGGCACGATTCCAGTCGTGTTTCGGTGGTGTTGGTTTCGCAGCTGAGGTCGACGTCAATGTGCGCAAATTCGGTTGTTGTAGAAAAGTGAAAGTAGCTGCAGGTGCTAAAGAGCGCAGGCGCAACTGATATTTTCCTCTCGCAATCCATAGCTTATCTGTTTGCGTAGCCATACGTTTCCACATTGTGCACTATTTATATATGTTTCTGTATAAAACTTTAAGGATTAGGTCAAGAAATTATACTTTCAAATGAACCACTTGTAACAGATGCAACTATTTGCCCAACGTCCGTACGCAAGCTTTATTCGTTGTGAAGTGAAACTCAAGTAAGTTTCCGTTGCTGTCGGCTTGGAAGAAAGCACAAGCGACGACAAAGCTGCTGTTGCTTTGTGAGTGACACACACGGTTTGTTTACTTGGCACACCTCGCTTTTCTCTTCTCCCCTTGTTCAATAGGTGAATCGTCCATCGAATTGGAATCACATAGCTATTGTGCATTCTTCACCATCGAAACTGGTTTATTGGAATTTTTTGCGTTTTAATAAAAGAAAAACAAAAACATAACAAATAAGTCAGCTGATTGACTAGCTGCCAGATTGGTGGATTTGCGCTTCATTTTTTTAACGAGATTTCTGAGTAATGTGGGGTATTTTTTCCAACAAATTTTCCCAGTACTCGAGAAGAAGTTTGATAAGGAAATGTGGTGATCTCCGAAATAGCAGCTATAACTTTAACCAAGTGTAAATTAGGGTACTGTTTACATATTTGTACAACGATTTTGGGGTGCTGTGCCCAAACGCGTAATTCGAATCGAAAAACTTTTACACACACTTGTAGACAAGAGTTCACGCTTTATTACAAAAACAAAATTCACTATATCTGTGCTGGCTGACTTTTTAAGCGTCGTTTAAAGTGGATTTGGGGGAACACGTCCCTTTGCCCTCCGCCCCCTCACCCAAAAATCGTTGTACAAATAAGCAAAAATTTCCCGTAAATTATTGTTGTTTTTCTTCACAACATTTTCATTAGAAACGGCCTCAAGCTCAATAAAATTGTTGAATATTGTTGCACAAATTTTGAAAGTAAATTTCTGTTGAACATTTGTTAAAATTCGTCGAATTTTTATAAATATTCCATAAAGATTGCAATTTTGATTTACATGTTTTTTTTTTATATAACTAGTAAACTATAGTTTAATAAAAAATTATAAAAATTGTTGAAACAGAGAAAAATAGCCAAAACTTGTTAAGATGCCGCTTCCCTATTTGCATTCTCGCCACCGTACATATGCATGTTCATATGTTTGATTTACTTAATAAATACATGCGTACATACATACATATGTATTTCAATTAATTTAGTCTGCTGAATTGCAAGCGGGTGCGAACGAGGGCGTGTTGTCAAGGGATGTGGAAGATCGCTCTTTGCATTCAAATATTTTGATACATATGTATGGATGTGTGTTTGTAGTACGCTCATACTTTTGTATGGAAAAAACGTGAAACACCTTCAACAAAAAAAAATCATTTTTGTGAGCTGTCTGCAAATGTTTTTTTAATGTTGGCTGTCGCTTCACCTGAACATTTGAAAAGAAATTCCAAAGAATCGGCAAAGAATCGACGAAAAAAGGCCGATGCCGATGCCGATGCTCAATTTTGTGCCGATACTAGCCGATGCCGATGCCGATTAATCGGTCGACTCTAGTAAGATGTATGCATGAAGTCGAAGCAGAAAGAATACCTTCGGTGCGGTGTTGTAGTAACAATATTAATTCTGATATTATTCTCAAGTACACCTGTAGCCTAATATAAGTATAAAATTTTTGTAAGAAAGTTAATTATTTGACCGTACCAACCAAAGCTGATAAAATAACTTTAGTTCTTTTCAAAAGTACAATTTCGCGGCCTAAACCTTTCAACGTGGTACTACGCTTCACACTATGTATATCGTCGTTTAAAGTACAAAACCGCGTATCGTCATTCTGCAAAACCGCGTAACTGACATTGGCTGCCAAAAATTGGATTTGCTCACACAAGCTCTTTGCTCAATCCTTATCCATTACTCCTGAAATATACTGGCCAGGTATGCGATTGCTTTATATAAAAGAGAACCATTTTGAAATATGAGTGTTTTTACGCTCTAGAAAATAATTTACAAAACTTCACATACGCTGTTTTGCATTTTGCTGATACGCGGTTTTGCATTTTGTTGATACGCGGTTTTGCACTTTAAACGACGAATATGATTATCACTGATGCATAGATTACATGTAATCCGACACTTCAGAACGCAGACGAGTCGTTATCTCGGGTTTACAAATTATTGATAGCCATTATTTGCATGCAATAAATGTGTTGCAGTTTTGATTAAATATGCAGGTAATTTCTAATTTTTACTATGTACTTAGCTTAACGTTTTTGATTATAATTATTTATGAGGTTTTCATTGCTTGCGATTTAATAATGGCTGCTCAGTGCCACGTCTTCCCGCCTGAAAACTTCTGCTGCAAATTACCCCAGATTTCCAACATACTGCCTCACGGAGAGAACATCTGCAAAACAATACTGTCCCTCTAGTCCTCATCTCAGTTCGATCCGTAATATCTGAGTATCAATCAGAATCGTTTAGACTCCGTTTATATAAAAAGGCGTTGAATAGCCCATGTCCGACCAGAAGAAAACCCAACCTCAGACAAAATCTGAAATTCGGATTTTCCCGCACATAGAAGTCAATCGCCGATTGGGACTATTGTCCCAGCGATCTTGCCACATACTTAATAGCGTCTCACGCCACATCCCGTTTACATTCCCAATAGCCCCTCTGCCACTTCCATACTCCTTATCAACTGAAAGGCTCATGGGCGAAAAGGACGCTCTCCGATTAATACTTGTAGCACATCAGTGGAACTGTGCGACATTTCGACAGACAAGCCAGCAACATTACCCTCTGGCACGACAAAATCTTTTGTCGATCCACAACCGACATACATAACTGATTCATACCAAAGTCACAAACAAATCCTGATATATGGTGCGAACAGTGCGGCGGCCTAGGTCCCAATCACACCTCAAAATTCGGCACTCTTCGCTCTTTAAGACGCGCCAAATGTGGAACGAAATTGACTTGCCTCTCATACCTGAGACTGGCTCCGTTTAGGCGGATGACTGGTGGACGACCCAGCCATAATCTACCTTTTAGTTTATTCCCCTTCTATTCTATTAAAGCCCTCGATTGCCTCTATAACAAAATTAGAACGTCACCGAAAACCGTCCCTCCCTCCCCAAAATTTGGCAGCTCCTTTGCCAGAGGAATAGTTACGCCATAGAGCCAACTCTGGACACCCAAGTCTCTGCAACAGCTCAATGACTCTAGCCCCATGAAAATAATTTAAAGCCTGCTTTAAATCAACAAATATGTATGTCAAGAACGTACTCATTGCCGTTTTCCTACACAATTTTTTACAAACTTGTTTACATTTATCCACGCATCTCCAACTCATTTCCATTCCTAAGGAAAGTATCTACCCATATGCACTTATTACAGATAGTTCAATGTATAGGATCAGGGCCGGATTAAGAATGTGGGGCCGGAGCCGTTATACATGGGGAGTTAATAATTACTTACAATTAATTTGAAAAAATAATTATATTTTCATTTTAACAGTATCGTTAATTATTGACCTCAAACAACGTGTTTTCTTTTGAAATTCTCGCCTGAATTTCTTTATACTTGTCGCTCATGTTGTACCCAGTATTAAACGACTGACCACGGCAGTCTCGTATATGAACAGAGATGGAATGGTACGAATATTTTGTCTTTTTGATCCGGCTTAGTATTTTTGCCTGTACTTTCTCACCCCTCAAAGTTATTGTTTTCTCGCAGATTGTTGACGATAAATAATTCACTTGCCCTCGTCCCTTATTTTCGTATTCTTTGATATGTCCGGGGGTCATTCTGAGCTATCGAGAATCTCGCCAGACCCAGGAGAAGCTAAGCTAGGTTCCGCAAGATGTATTGATGGCGCTGACAAATCTTCTTAATACCTAGGGATCTTTTCTGCAAACTCTGAAAATTTTTTTTTATCCTTTCGTCATCACATGTGCCCTACCAAATGTGGGGCCTTGTGCCGCGGCCCCGTCGGCCCTGCCCTTAATCCTGCGCTGTATAGGACCCTCCACCAATAATAATATTACATAACTAGCAAATGCCCAGCTATCTTCGCGACGCCTGATAGGAAGTAGGATGTGTACGCACCCTTGTCAGAGCCCATTTTTTATACCATATGTTATGTCCGAGGTTACTGTTTAATCACCAGTCAAAGTTCCATGAAAATCAATTCAAAAGTTTCGGAGATCAGTGAGTTCAAACAGACAAATGGACAAACAGATAGTAAAAATTTTAAAGATGGTACAAATGTATTCTATTATATTCCCTGCTTCACCGTCTGTAATTCTTTTAAAGAAATTTTCAATGTACAGGCACGGCTTTTCTACAGTTTTATCTAATATATAAAAATCTCGTGTCACGATGTTTGTCGTCGAACTCCTCCTAAACGGCTCGGCCGATCTTTATGAATTTTTTTGTGTATATATGGTTGGTATGAGAATCGGAAGTTAAGTATGATTCATACCACTAGGTGCAGGGGGCGTGGTACCTTCCATACAAACCGAATTTTTCACACTTCGTATCTCTGGAAGTGTTCATGGTAGAGTGCTGGAACTTAGTATGTACAATATATATAAAATCAACCGTATAGTCGTAAAGAAAAATTGCGGATACTGGAAAAAGGGGCGTAGCACCTCCCATACAAACCGAATTTTTCACACTTCATATCTCTGGAAGTGTTCATGGTAGAGTACTGGAGCATGGTATGGAGATATTTGAAATCAATCCTATATTCTTAGAGAAAATTGGGGCTGTTTGAAAAGGGGGCGTGGCGCCTTTCAAACGCACTGAAACGTATCTTTGTATGCATAAACACTTTTGCTAGGTTATTTTAAATGGAAATATGCCTTTTGACGACCACCAAACCATAATGCGTCACTGAAAATCATGAACGTCAAGTGTTGGTGAAAATGTTGGACGAAAATGTTTCAATACAAAAAATTAATTTTGGGCCTGACGAAGTTCACCGGATCTGCTAGTTATAGTATAGATTCCCTATTCCTAAGAAATATTAGAGCACATGTCAAGAAGCTTCAGCGAAGTCTGTGCACGTTAACAATTCTTTCCACCTGCCTTCATATAGTCGAAACACTGTGCGTCGTCATCAAAAAAATAAAAATAAAAATCAACGGTATTTTGTAGACACTTCAAAACTATAAAACTGCTGCTGAGCAACTTTATTACATTTCTCTAATTTTTGTACAAAGTGAGAAATTTTGATTCATATGGCTTTTGTTAAAATATCATTTCATTGCTGGGTGTACAACAGGTATGTAGATATAGTACCAGGACTTTCTTTATATTATTGAAAAGCTCTTTCTATTACTGCAAAGATAGGTATAGTTTTTGGTCCGAAAAAGATGAGAGTGTTAAGTAGGTACATAAGTTATTA